ATATATATATATAGCTTGTTGTTTTATTTATTAAGGATAAATTATATGCATTTTACGAATTTCATCTGAATTATGTCACTTTGTCAATATAAACTTTTAAACATACCGTGTCCCTTCTCCGTATCACTTTTCCAGTTTCAGGTCTTGAAGGCTTGAACTTTTGAAACGTATTTTTTTGGATAGAATTGTGAGCTGTCACTTAGTAAAAAAGTTAGGTATAATATTTAAGGGTTAATAAATGCCTTTTGCTCCAAACAAATTAGTCTGGTCCTGAACTTCAAATATATTCTCTTCTTGAAGTAGTTGATGAGAAGCAAGAAAATGGGGCGGAACAAGCACGTTCCAAAGTTTAGCGGACTGTTAGAAAATATTCTTTGGGTGAAAATCATTGCTTAAAATCCAGGAAACATTAATGTTGGATCACTAAAAATTAATAGATTAATAAACGGAAGCGTACCTGAATTTTTGACAATAAATTATTCTCTAGAGTTTTACAGTTTGTCTTCTAAATCAACACATTTTTTCTAGAGAATCGTTTAGCTTTCTCACTGCCCTCTCTCTGATGATAGGATGTCAAAAACAATAGAATGTTAAGTGTGATCTTGAGACCATAATCACTATATATAGTATCTTTTAGTATTTTTTTTGAGCCCATCATAAAAATAGAAATTACACTCCAGTCTCTACACATTAAATGCACACACCCTATCAGATACATTAAAGCCTAAATTACCCAAAACTTAGCCGATCACTTTTTTATGGGCATAAACTTATATGACAGTATGCAACACATAATTATTCACATATAAGCTCAATGTTGGATTAAGGATACAACAATCTCCCACTTGGGCTATATGTGTAACCTTATAATTATGCATCACAAAATGACTGTATGAGCTCAACTTTATTATCATTACCGAAATGTATCTATAACTAATCCGGTCCACCAATCATATCAACATATGATCAAAGCGCTTTTCGTTACATCTGTCGTAACTAGACCTGTCAATGGTCACATATGCTGATACAATTGAATGTCATGGATCATGATGTGGATGTGTAGCATAGAAATTTCATGCAATGTGATCTTAACATGCTTATTTCTAACTCGTTCTGCCTTAAACCTTAGTGAGATCAAACCATATTAAAATCAGAGTGTAAATAAACTAAAACTTTATTTCTGCGAAAAATAACCTCAAAATATCCATAAATTGAAATAATTGAAAATGTGTCTATATTATAAAAGCATATAAAATTACACACTCCCACTAAAACTAAATATCCTCAAATGACATGACACCCATACGAGCAATGCGCTCATGAAACACTTTGCGTGGCAATCCCTTAGTAAGCGGATCCGCAACCATGGAGTTTGTACCGATGTGCTATATAGATATTTGTCCACTCTGAACTCTTTCTTTAATAACTAGAAACTTAATGTCTATATACTTTGACTTCGTCGAGCTCCTGTTGTTGTTGGAATACATAACAGCTGACTTATTGTCACAAAATAACTTGAGTGGTCTTTCAATACCGTCCACTATGCGCAGTCCCGTGACAAAAATTTGCAGCCACATTCCGTGATTGGATGCCTCATAACACACTGTGAACTTTACCGCTATGGTAGAAGAGGCTGTTTAGCACTCTTTCAAGAGACAACGCCCCTAACTAGTAGGTAGATATAGGTTGACATTGATTTAATACTATCTTGGCAACCAACAAAATTAGAGTCAGAATACCTAACGATCTCAAGCTCATCCGACCTCCGATACGTGAGCATATAATCTTTTGTTCTCTGTAAGTACCGCATAACCCATTTGGTTGCTTTCCAATAGTTTACTCCTAGATTGCTTAAATATTTGCCTAACATCCTAACAATGTATGCAATATCCGGACGCATACAAACCTGAGTATAGATTAGACTTCCTACTAGTGACGCATGAGGAATCTTCTGCATTTTCTTTTCCTCAAAATCATTCTTAAGGCACTGTTTGAGACTAAACTTGTCTCCCTTTGCCACAGGGGTATCACTTAGTTTGCAATCATGCATACCATATCTATTGAGAACCTTTTCAACATAGTTCTTCTGTGATAATCTAAGAATATCCCTAGTGCGATCCCGGTGTATCTGAATGCCTAATACAAAAGAGGCGTCACTAAGATCTTTCATCTCAAAATTCTTAGCTAGAAATCTCTTAATTTTGTGCAATAAGCCTATATCATTATTGACAAGGAAAATGTCATTGATATATAAAACTAAAAAAATAAACTTGCTCCCACAGAACTTATTGTATATGCAATCATTTACTAAATTCGTCTGAAAACTAAACGAGATGATTACTTGGCGACAAGATGAGCCTTCTACCTTTCCACATTGCTTTTTAAATCCCTCTTGGTCTTAAATATCTATTTGCAACTAATTGTTTTCGCACCTTCTGGCAATGAGACAAGATCCCACACGTCATTATCCTTCATGGACTTAGTCTCCTCATTCATGGCATCAATCCACTTATGAGATTTAAAATTTTTCATGGCTTGACGAATTGATCGAATCATCTTCTATCACTCCAATATCATCCTCATGTTCTTGGAGATATACAATGTAGTTATCTGGCACTGCATTTCTCCTTTCTCTAGTGGATCTCCTTAATGACATATGTTCTTGATGCGGTAGAGTTTGTTCTTATGGAATAATTTCTTGAATGGGAGGTTCTCTGGCATTGTCTTGATCTGTTGCATCTTGAACAAAGTCAGGAATGAAATCCTGATCAATTGTCACGTCCCAAAACATGGGTTATTGATGTGGAGGCTCGTTTAGAAGTTAACCATGATCAGGATAGTAATTAAACATTGAGAAACATAATAATCAAAATCAAAAGTAAACTATAAAAGAAATTTCCAAACAAGCCCCACATTTTTGCTGGAATTAAATTACAAGAAAGTGATGGGGACTTTCACACTTTCTGATAAAAGAAGTTTAGAAACTGAGCCTCTGACATCATTCAGGGTCCACCCACGGATAAACAATATTGTACATACATGAACATGTAAACAACATTACAGACATCAACCACAGTCTAAAAACTTAAGGTTTACAGTTTCAGAATTTAACGATCCTTACATTTATACACAAGGATGAAAGAGTGCAATGTTCTCACTTGATCGGACGGTAGCGACTAACTCAGCTACTCAGCACTGCTTCTAGCGTCACCTGGGAGGGGTTTAATATTTATAGAAACAAAATAAAACATGAGCGAAAGACCCAGTAGGATGTAATTTGAAATAAATTTTATAAACAGGTAAATAAATGAATAAGTAAGTAAAGAAAGATATTCAGTTCCAACACAATAGCCGGAACCTCACATCCTTTTTTCAAAAGGAATAAAAATTGAAAATTCCATATTACAGGCATCAGCAAGTAATTTATCCTATGATAAATTACTTACACAATCACAAGCCACCGTAGTGGCCCAGTTAGATTTCGGGTTCTGCTTCCAAGGATACGATCTCCATATCCTGTCTTGGTCATCAGTGGTCTTACCATCTCTTATCTTTAGAAATCGTTCATTTAAAAACTCTGAAATAGTTCATTATAATTCTAATAGCTAAAATGAAGCTATTGTGTTAAAATGCGTTTCTTTCACAAACATGTCATTTCTTTAAAACATTTGCAAGGCCAAAACTCTTTAAAACAGGCTGTCAAAGAAAAGGACAAGAAATCCTACCTCTCAAGCACCAAACCTGTGGCTAGCATTGCGCTATTCTGACTTTCACTTCCTCAAAGCCTTCAATTTGATTCCTCAGCTAGCATTTGTACAAAACAACACTTTAGGATTCAATTCTCATTCCTAAAGCAAATCAATCTCAATTATAGACCTCGATTTTCTATTAGTGTGCCTTAATCCAATTACAAGTTTCATAAATCATTTCATGTTTCAAATCATCAATCCAAGGGTTTTAATCTCAAAACACGGATTAGAGATGCTAATCCATCTACTTTAGGTCCCCAAATGAAGCTAAGTTGAGTTCTCTTCGAAAATTGAGATCAAAATAGGATTTCAAAGCAACTTAGCCCTGTTTCCTATGTCAACCGGCCGATTGGTGACAGAGAGGACCATTACCACCGGTCGGCCGGTGGTGTGCTAACCGGTCGACCGCATGGGTCGGACGGTGGAGATCAACAAAGCGAGAAAACTCACCGAATAAGTTTGAAAACCTATAAATCTGAGTTTAATCTGAGATTTTTCAAAGGAAAATTACCAAATCCAAGTTTCAAATGACAAATCCAGTCCAAAGAACCAAAAATCCCCAATTTTCCACCGTGATTTCACCCAAAATCCATCAAAATCCATTTCAAACCAAAAATAGGTTTTCTTAATAGATAAATTCGAGATTCAAGAGGAATTTTTTAGAAATGTTACCTCAAATCCTTCTCTTTAGTTCAAAATCCAGAAGAAACGGTGACAATTTGAACGAGAGAAAGTGAGTGAGAGGAACGAA